TCAGGGGGGGGAGACGGGAAGGTTTAGGTACAGGTAAGGTGGGAGGAGTTGGATCTGGATCCACCCACGCCCCCTGGATCTTGTTTTCTGCAGTGAGGACCATCTCAGAACTGCTGAAGTTCAGTTCAATTTGATGGTGACCGTTTGTGGACTGCAGTCTTCAAGTCATTCCACATATTTTTTTAAGTCCGGGCTCTGACTAGGCCATGCAAGGACATTCAGCTTTTTTCTCCTTTATCCACTGTGTGGTCAGTTTTGCTGTGTGTTTTGGGTCATTGTCATGTTGGAAGGTAAACCTTCTTCCCATTGACAACTTTCTGGCAGAGGGCAGCAGATTTTCCTCAAGAATTTGACAGTATTTTGCCCCATCCATTTTTCCTTCTATCCTGACAAGTGCTCCAGTCCCTGCTGCAGAGAAACACCCCCATAACAGGATATCACCACCTCAATGCTTTACTGTAGGAATGCCGTTATTTGGATGGTGAGCTGTATCGGATTTCTGCTAGACATATTGTTTTGGTGTGTAAATAATTAAATTTTAGTCTCATCTGCTTCAGAATCTTTAAGGTGTGTTTTGTCAAAACTCAGTCATGACTGCATGTGGCCTTTCGTGAGGAGAAACAAGCCACAATCGTGGAGAATTTGTGATATTGTTGTCACATGCACACTAAGGCTGTCAAACCCCCCCCCTCCAAATTTTGAATATTCGTCGAATAAAAATAAAAAAAAAATCCACATTCAAATGTGAATATAATTTAGATATTTTGATAATATTTAAGTGGAAAATTTGAATTTAGTTTTTCAGTCATTTTGACAGCCCTAATGCACACAATGACCACTCTTTGTCAAATTCCTGCAACTGCTTCGGAGTTGCTGTAGGCCTCTTGGTAGCCTGTCTGACCAGTTTCCTCCTGCTCTTTCATCCAGTTTGGAGCGATGTCCTGATCCAGGGAGAGTCTGTGTTGTTCCAAATACCTTCCAATTCTTAATAATAGACTTCACTGTGCTTCTAGGCATTGATAAAGCCTTTGAATTTTTTTTGTATCCATCTCCTGACTTGTGCCTGTCCACAAATGTATCCCAGAGATCTTTGGCAGTGCCTTGCCACCCATAGTTGACTGTTTGCTTCAGTTGTATTACCAAGGACTGAAATGTTCCAGGAAAGCTCTTTTCATGCTGAGCTAATCAAAATGACCACAGCTGATCACAGTTGAATGTCAAATGGTGCGCCATTGAGAAGGTGATTAACTACACCTGATTGAGTTTACAAGTCATTTTTAGGAGGGGGGTGATCCTGTTTTTTTATTTATTTTTTCCTGACATATTGGTGTTATATCTTTCACTTGGATGTTATAAGTTGCACTGAGTAAATACATTCACAATAGCGTCATACCCTGTTTCTGTCACACGTCCAACAACAAGAGCCACAGCACAGTGGAGAAGGTGTCAGTGACACTATCACACACAGAATGAGAGCTAAAATATCTGAATAAAAGAGAAGGCAGACAGAAAGAGAGAGAGACAGGTGGAGAATGGGAGGAGGGGAGAAAGATAAAGCCCTAATTACTTGTGTTAATTGGAGCCCTAGTTTCTCCCTCTCTCTGAGGAGGCAGGGGGCAGCGCACGGCTGCAGGGCTTCACAAGAAGAGTGAAAGAGAGAAGAACAGAGATGGAAAGAAGGGAAAGAGAGAAAGAGAGCAAGAGGAGGGACAGACAGCAGGTGGCTGGATGCAGGCCAGCAGGAGACGAACACAAGGGAAGAAGCTGAGCTGTTTCCCTGCATCTATTCCTACAAAAGAAACACGCAAACATTTGATTTCTCAGTCATATTTAAACTTTCTAAAAACGTATTTAAACTTATTTTAAATAATAATTAAAAATATATATATCTTATTGTTTTCCTGTAACAAATTATATTTAAATAAAAAATTAAATCTGAATAATAGGTAAATATATGGAATAAATGTAATAATTAGTTAGGGAATAAATGTAATAATAATTTTACTTGACTGCACATTTTTCATAAAATAATAATATGATTAGAATGTATCCATAACAATAAAATATTATAAAATAAAATTATTATTACTATTATTATTATTGTTGTGTCTGAAATGTAAGTTATGCAAAATAATTTTCACACTCACAATTGTGCTGTGATAACCTGCACTTTATTTAACAAGGATATCCAGGGAATGGAAGCTAGCACTAGATACAAACAGACACCGTTATCGGCCTATAAATTTGTCTCTCATAGTTGAGGTATACCTATGATGAAAATTACAGGCCTCTCTCATCTTTTTAAGTGGGAGAACTTGCACAATTGGTGGCTGACTAAATACTTTTTTTCCCCACTGTATATACCTATAATAAGTGCCCCTTTGCAATATACTACATGTAATTGCAGTAATTACAGTGTAAAAGCATCATGCAAGTGCATTATAAGAGTGTAAACTACACTTTAACGGAGCGTCTGCTAAAGGGCAATGTCGTAACTAACAGCTGGGTCATGAGAACAAGAGCACAATGCTCAACTTTAATAGTGTTGAAAGATCAAGGTGGTGAGGCTCAGTAACTGCGGTTTATATATCTTAAACACTTGAGATTTAACCTGCAACCCTTGATAACAGCCCAGATCATAATGTAATCTAATCAGACACTTGTATTAGAAATGTGCACAAGTAATCGACTAGTCGAGTACTCGTTCTGCACCAACTAGTTGACCATTAAAAGCAGTGCTTAAATTACTAAAGCAATTTCTTCTTGTTTTTACTTAAAGGCACAATATGTAAGATTTTTTTATTAAAACATCCAAAAACCACTAGAACAGTGTTATATATTTTGCTGACTTGTGTACTTACATTATCCCAAATGTTTTGAAGAATGTTTAAATCCAGAGAAAAGCAATTTTATCTAGTAACACGAAGCGTGTCCATAGTTTCATTGTGTCGCCTGCCAATGACGTCATACACCCTCGATTTCCGGTTTTATTTTGTAGAAAACATGAAAGTACCAAAGATGCTTTAATATGTTGTGCGTTTTAATAGACCGGTAATGACCGCACAGAGTAGCATTATAACAGAACTTTCAAATGTATCTAGTATGATAAAACAGGGCTGCTTTACCCCACATACGCACGACCGGAAGGAGCGGAAGCAGTCGACTGTGGCATAATAAAAGCTCCGCTACTTTCGATCCGTACGTATGTCACGCTCGTTCAGCTGCCTCGTTTCGCTTCGACGGCTTTCAGCCTCACCCTGCTTCATTCTACTACGTTAATAAATCATTAGCTCATCCATGAACATGATTTCTGCCCGAGTCCCGTCGGATTACATCGGCTGTGGGGATGAAGACGACAACTCCCATGATTCCACACTCAGTCACTGCGTCATCAAACTACGCCTTTGTTTCTTTGTTTGTTTTGAATATATGCGCCCTCTAGCGGCGAAAATTACATATCGTGCCTTTAAACTGTCATTTACATATTAATGTTATACATTTATTTAAGTTTTTATTTATAATGTATATTTATAAAGTATAATACCTCAATAAATAAACATCTATTTAAAAATTATATGGATTTTTAAAAAATAATACTTAAAATTAGTGATGTTTCATTCGTGAACGAATCGTTATTTTTGAATGAATCTTTTAGGTGAACGAATCATTCTCGTTTACGTAATCCATTGACTCATATTTCTCGTTCACTGAAATTCCTCCCTCTAGAGCAGCGCGGCGCTATTGGCAGCGCATGCGCAGTTCAGTGAACCGGGTAGCTCTGTGGGCTGTTTCATCCTGTCAAAGAATGACTAAACCTCAAGCAAATAGCCTTCGAGTTTGAGATGTGACGGAGCATGTGATTTGTTGAATGTAGTGAACGAATACGCCCTTCACTGAACGAGTTTCTTTTGAGTCTGAACGAGATCGAGAGATCTTCTCGTTCGTGAAGGAGTTGAATGAACTGCTACATCACGTTCATGATTGAAATGAATGAGAGTGTACATGGTCAGTCGGCCATTTAGCATGTCAATCTCCATCAGCAATCAGCAGAAAGCAGATGCAACGAGCAGTTATAGGTACTGTGCACATACGCTTGTTTATATATTCATATTTAGCATACAGAACATAACTCCACGTTTAATCCCCGATTTATGAATGT